ATGATAGTGTCCAAGAGTGTACACGTTCATACTTAGTATAACAAATAACTGTTACTAATTGAGATTCTAGGATTATTATAGACGTAAGTCATTCATCTGAGAGCAATGATGATTTTAAAAATAGAGGTGGTGATGAGCGATGATGTGGGATAGCGTTTAAGTAACGCTAGCGTTAGTCCTATCTTCCTCCTCGCCAATGAGTCACGAGGGACGTGGGCACCCTTTATCCCGTTCCCTACTGGAACCATCTGTACGGCCACCTGGCTTAAAAGTTATATTCTAGAGGAGTATAGGCGGTCAAATCTTGAGCTAACTTTGAAGAACCAGACCTCATAAACAACTGTTGAAAACCAGCCAGGTTTCCCATGAGCACAGAAAGGAGAAGCTAAATCCATTGACCTAGAGGCCCACGCACGATTAGCGGTCTGAGATAAAAGAAGCCAAACAACTTTACTTGGGCTCCACTTGCTTAGAGGTTAAGACGTTAACCTCTCATTCAAAGGTCACGGGCTCGAATCAGAGTAGCGACCGAAAAATCTTTTCTTCTTTAAAACTGTCTCTTTTCACCTCCTTTCCTGCTCTCTAACTACGTTCGGTAGTCTGCTTTTGTCCCCACTTTCTGTCCCCACTCTCTCGCCTCCTTTGCCCCCAGCCTCCTCCTCTTGGCTCCTGACTCTTTCTGCAGTCTCCCTACTGCTACTCCTTGGCTCCCTCTTATTGCTGTCTTTCGGCCACACCACTGATTTTCTGATAGTTAAAATCTACGCCTAGCCTTCTCGGACAAGGGCGAAAAATCTCGGAGGTCCCGTGTGCAAGTTGCGCACGTTAAAGATCGCTTGTGGTGTAAAATTGATAAGAGTAGGCTTCGGCCGCCACCCGCACAAAATTCAAATTTTCCAACCAACTGAAAATGTTAAGTGTGTCCCGCGCGCTCATATGACCTAAAAATGCAGTTGTGAGCACCGTAAAACACTTCATCATCATCATCCGGTGCCTTGCCGACTGGCGTGGG